TAGGACATGTGAAGAATATAATTAATATATTTTTTAAATCATTAAACTGTATAAAAACAAAAAAAGTTAATGTTAATTTTTTTATTTACAATTAAAGTATTATCAAGTCAACTTTTATGCACGTCTAAACTAATTTCTTCTTGACTAATCTTAAGGGTATACTCTCACATTGATCTAGTGCATTTTAGGAAATTAATTTTCCTAACGCACTAACTTGAAAACTTAAAGTTTAAATTTAGCCTACAAAATAACATTTACTTATTAATAGATCCAGCTCTTGAGGTTTAAAAAAATTATATATGTGAGTTTTAACATAAAATTTGTATTCAATCCACAACCAATTGATATGAGTTTTAATATTAATATCACATATATTAATTTAATTAGTCAATTATTAAAATTAAAGCTATGTTTTATTTTTTATATAAGTTATGATTAAAAGATAAATTAATTACATCATTAACCTATAATTTAAGAAAACATATTTAAAAAATCTTTAATCAAAACAAATTCAAATTTCAAGACACATATTTGAGCCCAAAAAGATAAAGGGAAGGAATCAATGCCTAGGAAAAAAGAGTAAGACTGATTCTCATTGCTTGCAGAGAAACAAACATAACATATTATTATTATTATTTTATGTTACACAATAAAAAATAACTCTCTCTCATCCCTTAACTCACCCTATTTGCTTATTAATTTTAATGGTAGACATTTGATTATATTTACAGTTTACTATTTAGACACTATTCATGCACATCAAATATTTTGTTTTTGTTTTTTACCAATGAAACAATAAAAGCAAATACCAAAAAAGAAAAATAATTGGTATACACTTAGTTTAATATACTTTTTAACACTTATTTAGTTTAATCATTAAAAATATAATATAAATATTGTCAATTCAGTCAGTTCTTGTATTCTATTTACATAACTTGCATTCTATTTGCATAACTATATTTTTAAATTTCTTTAGTTTTAATTTCAAATAAAAAATAATAATTTTTCAAAAAAGTATATAAATTGTTATTCTATAAAAAAATAAAAATAAAAAACCCTTTTTTTTACACTTTAATGAATATTCTGGATTTGGCTTTCAAAGCATCCTCATCCATCACAGTGACATTTTCTAGATTAACATTTGTTTTCTTCAAAGCACATCACTTTCCTTGTGCAAATTAAAATTTTCACATTTCAACTCATAACCTTAATAATTAAGTTGCAGAAAAAATAAAATTTGACTTTAATTGTAGTTATTAAATAATTAAATTAATACATGTGAGACTAGTACTAGAATTAATATCAATTTTTTTATTTTTTATATAATTTAATGGCTAAAACGTGTATTAAGAACATTGATCAAAAAAATCTTTTGATTAATAATAAGTCTCTTGTTGATTGAACATGCTTAAGGAAATTGA